GTTTATAAAATGCTATTTCTGAACATTTACACAAAAAATTTATACAAAATGTTTTCCAGCTATTCATGTTTTCCTTGCTGTTGCATGAAATCTGAGAATGTGTGGAAAAATAAATATATTCATTTTAATAGAAGTAGTCCCAAAATTAAACTAGTAATTTCAAAATTAAAATAGATTTGTTTTTTTAAGTATAGAAAAATAAGTTTCTTATTACTTAATGAAGTACAGGTGTTCCATACCTTGAAAATATTCACCTCCTTGGTATTTACCTTTTATCAATCACTTAAGATTACAGTGCTGGCAATTAAGAATGGCTGTCAAAGACATGTTAAGTAGAACAAGAATCTAAATAAATACTACGCAAGTAGGTTTTCATATAAACCACATAGACTGTATCAATGAAGGGAAAGGGAGTATATGTAATTTGGAAGTGGTAAGTGCACATTTGTGAACAAATGCTTCTTGTGTTTTCCAAAACACATCTATGCATTCATAAACTACATGGCAGCTACAGAGTGTTTGTCTTCACATATAATGCAAGTACTATTACAGACAAGAGCATCAGTAACTGTATCATTCAGTATTGAATTTTGTAATAGAGAACTTGCAAAGTTATGCTACTAAAAATGGTTTCTATTAGTGCTATTTATTTCTCTTCCATTGCAGGAATAAGCTGTACTGATATGTAGTATCTTCCCATAGTGACTCCATCTATGATAGGGGGCTTGTACCACTGTAAATGTGTCAGTACCTTCCTATAGGTACAGCCTAAGTCTGTTTCATAAAATGAACTAAATCAGTAATACAGTTGTCATTAATCATAGTTAAATTCAAAGTAGTGATAAACTTGTAATTAAATAATTTTGTGTCCAATTAGAAGAACAGATAACTGCACATGTTCTAGTACATTTTGAGGATTTTTTAAATATGCTTTGCATGAGAATGCTTGTAATTTTTGCAAGGCACAACATAAAGTAGAATCTGCAATAAAAACATAATTGTGAAGGCATTAATACTGTTGACACTGGCAGCACAATTTATCTGATCTGTATTAACATTTCATCTTTCCACGTAAGTTTAGTTTTTGAAACAGTTTGAACTGATTCTTGTGGGGAGAGGGGGAAGGGAGCAGGGAGCGCTAGCGGTGAGCCTGTCAGCTGGCGTGGGTGAGCGCCCCCAGTTTGGTTTGGATATCGCTCACGATACGCTTTTCCTTACCTCGCAGTGGTTGCACAAGTGGTGGCACCAGGTGCGGGTTTTGTGGAGGATCTAGATGAGTCGTAAGTACTGGGGTGTCTTGCCTCACTAAATATTGTTTGTCTTTTTTGCGGGGGGATGACCCCAGACTGACAGCTTTGTGCAGAGTGTTGTTGTCAAGAAAGCTACTCTGGAAAAAGTGTGTCTCTTAGCAGGAATGGCAGAAAGATTGTGGCCCGTGTTAAGTAGCTGCAATTAATGAAGCCAAGGAACGCTTTCATTTTGCAGTTGCTTTACAGATGTTATTGCAGGTAGTGTTGCCAAAAACGTTCTTAGGTTTCCTTGTTCTTTCTTTCTTTTTGGTGGAGTAAATATATGGGTGGATTGATGCCTACCCCAGATAAAAACTGATTACATTTAACCGAATTCTCCATTAATTTGCTGCATAGCTTCACAGGGTGTTGGGAGAATGAGTATAAGTGTGTTCATGCATGGCCAGAAACGGAAGAGAGCAGGCCTGCAGGACCAGTTCATGGCTGCTTGAAGTGCCAGTTATATTCCAGTGTAATGTAAAAATGTGCTTTTGCCACAGATTTAGCTCTGAGACTGTAGTGGTGTTGAAATGAGTAGTCCTGTCCTTAACTTAGTTGTGGAATGTCATTGTTCATGTACTGCCTTGCTTTAGCAGTTTGATGGCTGTGTACTTGCAGTTCCCGATAAAAACGAACTTCACAATTTTTTTTTTTTTTTTCAAATCAGCAGGTTGATCTGAAGGGCTACAAAGCAGCATGATTATTAAAATTGAAATAGAATTAAAATAGAAGTTATAGAACATATACTAACTAGTAGAGGAGGAGAAGGTGTTATTAGATGGCTGCTTTATGATAAATTGAAGCCAGTCAAAAGCAATGTCTTAATGAGGGTTCTGCCCATGATAAATTTCATCATAGAGCTAACTAGTCAGAAAACCATTCATTTTTTTAATCATGTTGCTTATTCAGCTAGAGCAGATAATCATAGGAACAAATGAGGTGCAGTGAAGTTATGGGGAAAGGAATGGGAATGTATAGAAGGGATACTGAAGAGAAATAGATTAGCATCTCTGGTGTTTAAAGTGCTGATTTTCAGAGAACGTTTCAGAAATGTGCCTTATATTTTCAGGGACTGAAGATAAAGAGGCTAAGTAAATAAAATAGCATATATCTGTGCTCCCACATAGTGTTTCCATATCATTTTTCCACAGGGGTGAATTTAAATATAATTGCTGTTTTGGAGTGAAGAAGCATAATTCTGTAGTTGCGTAACTTTTTTGAAATAGCTGATAAAAGAAAATCCTATTTTACAACACTTGGATTTTTCAACTCCAGAACTATACAGATGCCTGTATTTGCAATTGGAAATAAGAATTAAGTGGTGAGTTGTTCAGGACAGGTTGGGTTTTTTTTTAGCTAATTGGCAAATGGTGAAAAAAGTCAGGAAAACTGTGCTTTTTAAAAGCATTGGGAGCAATGACTGGCAAATGTTTCAAGTTTTCCCTTTTATAGATACCTAAACATCATCGAGTTCTTGCTGTTGCTGAAAACTTTGAGTTATATTTGAATTGTGTTAGTTGCAAACAATACCTGCTGGCACAGGGTGCAGGTCCTTTTCCCAAGCTTCCAGGGTGGTAGGAAAACAAGTAACAGAGGATTGCTAACAGAGGTGAAAATTACCCAGTATCAACCAACTGGCCTGTGGAAGGGATGCAAAATAGGAACTGTGGTTCTTATACACTTACGCTGATCTTAACTGCTGGATGCCTCAGATCAGTACTTATTTTGTGACATTTGCTGACTTGTTCTTGCATGATAACAAAGCAGATAAATAACCTGACAAAAAAAGGAAACATTTTTCTGTCTGTTAGGATGCACTGGTGGCTCAACCCAGGATCAGAAGCATCAGAAACAGTGCAGGGAGGTTGAGAAGGAAGCAGGGAGGAATAGAAACAGCAGCTGGGTTGGTTTAAGGCCCTTGGAATTGAGGCCTTGGTTTTCAGTTTTGTTTCATGCTGGTTTCTTTTAACTGCTAATGATTAGCTGAGGTGCATGGACTAAGTGGAAGTTGAGGCAACATTTGATCAGGTAGTGCCAAGTGTTGAGAAGTTGTACATGTTTGAGACAAATAATTTCGATTCAGGGATATGCAACATCTTATCTTTACACCAGTGTGATTGTGCCTCTGTCAGCTGACAGAGGATTGTGTAGGACAGTTAAAAAGAGACACTGAAATTTTATACTAGAAAATGTATTTACAGGGCCCAGAAACAGCACCTTCACAAAAATGCTTAAATACCCGTTTGTACAGAGAGTTCTGTTTTTCTTCAAGAGTATGTTGAACTTTCTTAATGTAGTCTAATAATTTAATCACTGACATTACCAGAACTAGAACAGATTTAGATAGTTGGTTTTTGCCACACTCCAGATTTTTGTTTCTGTGTAAGTTGATTAAATAGCTTGTAAATAGCTTGAAATTTATTATTGTAAAAACTGCAGCATTTTTTTTATAATCTCTTAGGCCAAAGTTACTAAATTCCATTGGAATGTTCAGCCTCCAGACTCTTCCTTTATTTCCTATTTTTCTTTGTTGGTTTTGTAAGCTTTCGTCCTACCTTTGTCAGTGATTTAATGTTTGCAATCTCCTGTAAGTCATACTGTATTAGGGGGAGGAGAACAATTAATTGTAAATTCTTTTACAAACCAAGGGTGGTACACTAAATTAACAGCACAGCCAGGATCTGCTTTCTGCCTCTTGCATCATAACCAATTATTTGACGTTGTTATTAGAAGTTGGAGCTTAATTAGAGTTCTCAAGAGATGCCGGGTTCTAACTAGTTTTTCCATTAGTTCTGTAGCACTTAGGGTGGTGAAGTACATTTTTAGTGAGGTCGTCAATGAAGCAATTTTGTGACTTAAAAATGCTGCTTTCCAGTAGCAGTTTTAGATCAGTCACTGCAAATGCCTTTTCTGTTGTGCAAGCATTACAATTTTGGTACGTGATCAGTAAAACAAAAAAGGCTTGAATTTGCCAGTGAAATTCTGCAATTCTAAGTTTCAGACACTCAGTGCTGTAATTAGATTATATGCATGATTTCTGAATTATTTTTTTCAAACGGTAGGCCAGCATCAGCATTAGTATTTCTTCGAAACCATTATGGACTGTCACAAATCTATTCAACTTTAAATAAAATGTAGTAAATATTCTCTGACTCTGCTTACTGACTGTGAGCCATTTATAGGCATGCTGCATATTGGGAATTGATGAGTTGAGCTATAACTTCTATTAATTAGATCTTAACATAGAGTGTAGATCACACACTGAGTAATCATATATATTCATCTTTCGCTATAATAGTGTTACAGTAAGTATGTTGTGTAACGTATTTTATAGCATATGACATTACTCCCCCAGTTCTAGTCACTTTTACGAAACCCATCTTTTAAAAAAAAATAACCTTATATTAAAATTACGGCTTATTTAATTCTCAACACAGAAATAGTTAAGCAATGCAGTAATTTCTATGATCTTGTAATGACAATAGTTCAGTGAAATGTGTAAGCAACATTTCAAGAAGTACCAAGAAACTTTGATTTATCATGTTCTGGTTTTGTTTTAGGGGTTTTAGCATTTAGTGACAGATTTACAGTTTATAAAGCTATCAGTTCATTAAGATGTTATTTGTCTAGCATTAAGATTATTCAGTCGTACCTGTGTATCTGTTTTTTGTCAATAACTTGAAGATTTTTATTCCAGTAAGTTGGTTTCTTGTGTGCCCCTTTGATAAAAGCATAAATTGACACACTTATAGTAGAATGTTGAAGGAGGTTAAACTAAAATTGATTTGCATGTTAATATTAAAGATAATTTAGTTAATCTTAGCTTTACTGATTGTAGAATAACTGTGTAAACCAGTGCTCTAAGGGTCTGTATTGATAGATAAAATTTCAACTTTTCTAAACTGTCTACAACAGTATTTGATATAACTAGAATGGCTGCAAAATACTTCTTCCCTTTAGATTACATGTCCTAATCAAGTATTTTGTGTGTTTTCTGCTTTCTTAACTATTTTTCTGGTTTTGTATTTTTTTTGTCTTGGCAAATAGTTAGAGAAACCTAATTGGTATGACTGTGTATGTAGTATCATGTCTAGGGGCAATCTTAATACTGGAAAATACCTATTTCTTCCTTCCCTCCAACCCCAAAGAAAGAAGCAAACCAGAATTCTTTTATCTATAGTTTTATACCCACTTAATTGTAGACTGCCTGTTTCACACTTCACTTCCCATGTTAATTTTCAAATACATCATGTATTGATTTCATTTTTTCCCCTCCTAGGTTTAAAGAAAACCGTAAAGATGATATTTGGCTCGTAGATGTGAGTATGAGAAAAATAGGAAGACCTGCTAGTGGAAATCAAAACATAAAATGTACAATGATACGCTCTGTAGTAAGGCTGCTTCATTGTTTGGAAAATTGTTTGTACATGGTGCAGAAAAATTGCATGACAGTAATTCTTCTGACAGGATGATAAGCAATCTGTACTGTTCCGGATGAACCAGGAATTAGACCGCATACTGGATGCAGACAGGCTTCATCCTGTATTTTACAGTCCTTAAAGAAGGAAAGCAGATTACCTAATACAGTCTGGAGGTGATCACCTCTGTTCAGAATTCTGGTTATACGAGCTGATTTATTTTCTAGATATTTAGCACTACAGCATCAGATGTATGAGAGTATGAGACTTCTTTTACCTTTCTAACATATTTGGAAAGATGCAGTGCACCTTATTTCAGAGGCAAGGAATTATTAAAAAGATTGAGCTTGTTTGGGAGTGAGATTAAATTATTTTTAGCTCACCCAAATAGGAACAGTAATTCCCAAATTGTATAATTCAGATTTGTGATTTTTGTGTGGGGGAAACTAAATATGCTGATTCAGAATTGATTAGTAATATCTAGGAAAACAAAATCCAACTTTGTCAAGTTGTGACCTGATCTTGTTATATAAAAACATTGGTATCTTCCCTAATAATTTCACTGAGGTATTGCAGCAAGACATAGGCAGAAAGATGAGGCAAAGTCTTGCAATTCTAGCTGTGAGCAAACAGTATCAATTTTTCAGTGTGCTTGTATAAAAGTAGTTCCTGAAGAACTGAAATCCAGAGGGCAGCTTGGGGCAGTATGTGGACACACACATATATATTGCCCTTCCTTTTAAAGAATAGTGTTCCTCTATTGGCAAATAAATTAATATTCCTGGATGGCTTGATTACATGATCTTTTAACTTTTTTTAAAAAAAGAAATTTACCACACAGTCTATTTTTAAATAAGAAATTGTATAATGGTAGAGCAGTTGAATGTATTCTTTTCAAACTTGTCTTTCATGTTAAAAGTAGCACTAATTGTTTGTCACTTCAGGTTTATAATTAATTTGCAATTTTATTAAGACTTAGACCACCATGACTGGGAAAAAAGCCTTCTTAATATATTTGAGGGTTAACACAGAATCAACTTCTCTTAATTATTTCTCTTCTTAACTTTTTTTTTTATATCAAATGTATTTGCTTCTCAGTTTTATGCACCTTGGTGTGGCCACTGCAAGAAACTGGAACCTGTGTGGAATGAAGTGGGTATAGAAATGAAAAACATGGGCTCTCCGGTAAAAGTTGGGAAGATGGATGCAACTTCCTTTTCTAGTAAGTATGGTTTGGTTAGAGGTAATTTCATGACAGCCTCTGTTTAGAAACTGTTCTTAATTTTTTTCATTAAGTCATTGTTATGTTCTGTATCATAGCAAATGTATGCAAATGGTCATTGGAGAACAATTTCCCAATCTGCTTTCTAAAAGTGAAAACGTGCTGTGGTATGCGGTTTTTATCGCACTTGTTTCTGCTTGTTTAGGGAATTATTCCTGGACAAACAGAAGGTAAAAGCTTTTCAAAGATCTGCTTTTGATAGGCTGCTTAGAGCACTATTACACAAGCATCTTTATGTGGGGCATCTCTTGACAGCATCCAATTTCAGGTTCCTTGTATTACTGTTGGACAAGTTCTTGTGTTCTTGCTGTTGTTCTTTTCAGGTGGTAATCAGTCCTTAACAAATTACACCAAAAGCCTCCTGAAAGTCACTGAAGTCATTACATCAGTATTGAGCCAATTTCTTCCCTATTTCTTTGTAAATGTCTTCTTGAAGAATCAATTTCAGCTACTTTAATGCTTTTTTTTGATGATGCCTTTCATATGTAGTGACCTTTTCAGACAAAACCCAAAACTTCAGGTATTCAGAGAAGCAATTTGAGTAGGCATGAAAGGATTGTTGCATGCTTAACAGTATTTTCTTAGTTTTAGCGTTGTTGTCTATTATCATTTCACTTAAGTCGATGTTGAACCAGGAGGATATTTGAGACAAGGCATAGGGAGCAGTGGGGCCCAAGTGAAATCTGCATGTAATAAAAACTCTGTTAATACATGTGATGCTTTCAGTTAATACCTGTTAAACCTGATTATTGAGGATTGTTATATTTGCATAAAATATTATGCAGAATACTTTTTCCAGTGATATTACAGTTTTTCTGTGCTTATATATAGCAGAGTTTGGTCTTTTGAGATCAAAATGATCTTGTCTAAAACACCAATTTATTGTATGTAGCTTTTTCTGTAAAACCTCATAAATTTGACCTCATGTTTCATCTTAAAGATACTTATTTACTAACAAAAAATAAGTCTGGAGAATTAGAAGTTTTGAGATCATGTAACCAGGTAACTTCAAAATCGGGAATGTTTTTCTTCTCAGATTATTACCAGTTTTGTGAAGAATAGAATCTGATAGAACTTTTGAAATAGTTTCATGCTTTTATTTTGAAAGAGGAAGCTTTCAGCATCTGGATATGAAAAGTTCAGTCAACTCTGCTTAATGTCTTCCCAGTCTAAAGATTCTCTGAAATCCAAGTAACTCAACCTCAAGAACATCAGAAGGAAATGCAGCTCACCACACTTGTGTAACGAGGAAGGAGTATGAATGGTTGGCTCTGCATACTTTGTGTTTCTAATAAAAATATGAGGTAGTATGAAAACTCTGAACTCTATAGGTAGCTTATCATCAGGGAGTTGAGATCACAGCTGAACATATTAAGCATCCAGTAAGTGATGCCTCAGATTGCTGTGTGGAATGAGGATACAGCAGTTATATCAACAGAACAGGCACCTGGTGTGGTATGGGTTGAATTTTCATAGGGGTTAGCCTCAGAAGTCTCCTCTGTATGTGATCAGAGTAGCACTGTGTCACACCTGGGGCTAGCATAATTGCTGCTGCTTGCCTGTACTGCATTCTTCATACCAACAAGTGAAGGTGATGATGTAAATACATCACTTCCATGACATTTAGAAAATTTTAATAACTCCATGGCTGGGATGTTTAAAAAATTATATTAAAGTCTTGTTTTGTAGTTCTCCTGACTCTGCTCAAGAGCTGTACAAGGAGAAGTTAACTGCCTATCAGCACCTCTTGTGATTGAACATTCTAATACACATTTCAATGCATTCTAGTTCTGTGTAGTACAGCTGTGAGAGAAAAGGATCAGAAACAAATTGATCCTGTAATGCATATTTCTTCTATCAGTCTCCTTTGACTAAGATGTTGGTAAGTGTGTTGCTACTTTTATTTGTAGTTCTGTGCAGTTAGGGTTTTGATCCGGGCAAACAACCTTAGAGTCACAATTTTAAATATTATTCAGAGCTGTACACAACTCCTCCCACATCTGCTCTGGCGTGTGGTTGGTATCTGCAGAATGCATTTTGAGTGTAGAGGTTGTTCTTCAGTAGGGTATTGCACAAATATTGTCACAATTTTAGACTGACTTTAGTCTTTTCTGAAGACTACTTAGTTCAACTTTTGGAAATGCAGAATTGACTGGCAAGTGTAGTTTAAGCTGGCAGTTGCTATGTTCACAACTGGAAGGGTGGTGGCAAATTGTACCCCTCTAATTGATGGAGCAAGATACAAGGTTTTAAACAAATGTGAGATGGGGAGAAAGTTTTGCAATTGTCTTTTTACTGCATTAGTAAGCAACAGGTAAGTAACTGATTGATGCTAAAATGTCTTTCTGATGAAGTTGATGACTGTAGATATATACCTCAGTAGAATATGCATTAAAAATCTACTTTTTTTGTAATTACTACAGTATGACACTGCACTTCTGTTGTTACCTGTTACTGTAGCATGAATTGTCTTTTATATTTCTTTTAAGCATTAGTCTTTACACCTCTACGTCCATGATTCTTAATTCTTGCCTCTGATGTTTTCAGCCAATCGTATGTGCATATTAAATCCATACTACTTTTTCGTGAAAACTGACCAAGCATGTCTGTCTGGATGATTCTCATGCCATTTGACTTGTGGCATATGAATTGAGAGTCTATGCTGGGACCCTGCAGTACCTCTGAAAGAGGTCCAGAATTCAGTGGTGTAGCTTCATAACAGCAGCTTCTTGAAAGCAAGTAAAATAATTCAAACTGAACTAAGTGGTAGGTTTTTCATTTATTTATGTGGCTGGAATAGTAAACTGCGTTTAAGGTAGGAGAGCAAGAAAGTCTTGTTTCACTTTGGCATTAACACATTTCTTTCAGGTATTGCATCTGAATTTGGAGTGCGAGGCTATCCAACAATTAAGCTGTAAGTTGATGCTTCCCATTGAATTTCTAACAGTTACCTATTGTGCCACTGATTTTGTTAGACTAAAAAAAAAAAAAATTCCTCTCCACCTGAAAAGCCTCAAAACACAACCAAAAAAAATTACTCCACCATCTTGTTTTGGCATTATCTTTGATTTCTACTGGACTGTTTTGCTTTGAAATTCAGTAATATCAAGCATCTTTAGAAACAGAGTTCTTAAAGGCAAGTTAACAAAATTGGAATTAATTTAATTACTGTTTTCTATGCAACTTTGTAAAAGTGTGTGTATATATAATTATATATTTCAAATACATATGTTAAATTATTAAAAGGAATTTCATGCACCAGTTGATTTGACACATTTAGAGTGATTCAGGCAGTAAGTGCATACCTGAGTCTTCTGTTAACTTTTTGCAGGTTGCTGATTGCTTTTACTTATTTTTAATTACCTCTCTCTTCTCTTCCATGTACCTGAAAGTCTTACGTAAATGATAGTAGTGGTTACTATATAGGGTGAAGTGTGAGAGCAGTTGTTTGACAAGAGAAGTATATATAAATTTTTTTGCTTCACACAGAGGACAATATTTATAGGAAAATACCAGTCCATATTATTATGTACTTGTTTATAGCTCATATAGTGTATAGTTAAATAAAGACAATAATTTTGAGTACTTTTTACTATGAACATACAAGGTTTGTCAGCAAGTTATTGTTTAAACAAATACTATTTGTAATATATAATAAAACTTGTCAAGTTAGTTTTCTCAAAAAGGGGGCAGAGATGTTTGTTACTTATCTTTAAGGATGAAAAACTTTATTGGCATATAGAGGCATAGAAAATTTGGTTTATGTTTCTTTTTTTTCCTGTGAGTTCCCTAAACTTAGATGGATTCAAAAAAAGACTGTTAGAATTAGTTAAATTGCCTTGAATTTTCTTAAAATGCAAGCATGCTGCATCCCCTGTCAGCAGAGAACAGAAAACTGGCCGACACTTCATGAAGCTTAATTAAACACATGAATTCAGAAGGTTTTGCAGATCATTTGATACTTCTCAATTATAAAAAAGTATTAAAGAAGTGTATATATTTGTCTTTTACAAGGACTAATCCCTGAGCAGTATAAATGCTGAACGTTTGGGATTTGGTTTGAGTGTGTGGTCATGAGGAAATATTCCACATGAACTGTGTGTTTGCAAAGTAAATGACTGCTGTTATTTAGAAAAAAAAAATTGTAAACAAATGTTAATAATTTTTACAAGTCAGTAAGTCGGATATGGTGTAAATAAGTTTTTACTGTATAATTACATTTTATCGTGTTATTGTGTTTTTTGTTGATATTTTGTTGACCACCACTTCTATGTGAATATTTGAAAAATTACCTTGTTTATCACTTGCTAAAAGGTGACTATAATAAACTTGTGAAGACTGAGTAATTCTACATATGCAGATATAGTTTAGTTGATTTCAACTCTCTTCTCTTTTTGTCTTTCCTATTTATTTAGCTTAAAAGGTGACTTGGCATACAACTATAGAGGACCTAGAACCAAAGATGATATAATTGAATTTGCTAATAGAGTGGCAGGGTAAGTATACTCTGTCAGACTGGTTCTGGTGACTTAAAACCTCTGTAGTATTTTGAGGTGTGTCAGAAATTAAATCTATTTTGAAAAGAATGAGACATTGACATGAAGTGAAAAACTCAGTGCTATACATGTGGTTACCAGTGAGACTGTTGGTGAGTGGCATGGAGAAAGTAAGTAGAGAGTGGCTAGTCACAACCCCTTCTTTACAGTGCAAGAACTAAAGGTTACCCAAATTAGTGGAAACTATGAATAAATGAAACTCATGGAAGCTACAAACAAAAATACTGGCCTAAAGGTTGGCTGACAGATAGACATCATTGTTAAGGTAGAATCTGTTTAATACTCTAAAGTTATTTTGGAAATACCAGTTTAATATATGCTTGTGCATCTGAAAAGTTGCAGCAGTTGGTGACATAAGGAAATTGCTTTTGCAGAATTGTTCCCAACAGTTTCTGTTGGCTTTTTCTTCCTTTTCTCCTTCCCTACAGTAGCCTGTGGCCTCAAAATGTTACAGACAGTAATCTTTGGGAAGAAAAAAAGAATCTAATTTCATTCCTTCATTCTTAAATATAATTAAGAAACATTCATGTAGACACATAATTATTGCTCAGAATTCTGTAGTTTGGGAATATCAATGATTTCTAATAATGTACCAGAATTTTGTAAGATTATTTTAAGACCACATTTTCTAACTGCTGTGCTTGCATTCAGAGTTTTATCTTTCATATGAGTGAGACGTTATTGTGACTGGGGAGACCTTATTGTGGCCTTTCACTGCATAAAGAGGTCTTATAAGAAAGTTGGAGAGAGACTTTTTATCAGGTCTTGTACTGACAGAATAAGGGGCAGCGGTTTTGAACTGAGAGAAGGTAGATTCATATTGGATAAGGAAGACAGGTTTTTTGCTGTAAGGGTCGTGAGACACTGGAACAGGCTGCCCAGAGAAGCTTTGGGTGCTCCCTCCCTGGAAGTGTGCAATCTGATCTAGTGGGAGGTGTCCCTGCCCTTGTCAGGGAGCATGGAACTACATGATCTTTAAGGTCCCTTCCAACTGAATCTGTGATTTTTGTGTCCAGTAAATGGCATGCATGTTTATATCATAGCAGCATTTTGTACTAAGTTATTAATTTCAAATTTAAGTGTGCTATTTGAGGAACATAAGTTAATTTGGGTGGCATTTTTAGGGTTTTTTGCTTTTAGTTGAAACTTTAATAAGAAATTGAAAAAATTAAATGAATTTGCATATGAGAATTCAGGGTGGTTTTTTTTCTTTAAAAAAAAAAAAAGCATTTTCTTGGGGACTTTTATTTGTTTGGGGTTTGCAGCTTGCAGAAACTGAGATTTTTCTTTCACTTTTTTTTTCTTTCCTCTCAGACCTCTCATCAGGCCACTTCCTAGCCAGCATATGTTCGAGCATGTGCAAAAGAGACATCGTGTACTTTTTGTGTATGTTGGTGGTGAATCTCCTTTAAAGGTTTGAAGCTTGATTAAATAAAGTTATTTCTTTTGACTATTCACAGATGTAGGTTAAAATATCTTCTAAAAGACTGAAGTGCATGCTTGTAATATTCTCATGTTTTTTTTACATTTATTGAACTGTTTTTACAATCTTGTTTCATAACCATATTTTCTAATTGCTCTCTGAAGATAAAATATGTCACAAAACTTTCATTTGAAGCATATGAAAAGTTCAGAAATTAAAAGACATTGTTTGTATTTTTTCAGGAAAAATACATTGAAGTTGCTTCAGAACTAATAGTTTATACGTACTTTTTCTCTGCCTCAGAAGATGTGCTGCCTGAGGTAAGCTGTTCCAGTTCCTACTATTTTCAGAAATGCCATAGTTCTCCTCAAATATAAATTCTGCTGTTTTGATGGCACGGAGATGGCTTCTTACTACGTATTTGACTCAGATAAATTTCAAACTATTTACATGACTGAAACATTTAATTTTGAAGTCTGTATGGGCAAAGAATACAAACCGAGAGTCAGTGTGTCATTGCTTTATATTGGCCACATTACTTGTTCAGTCATATTAATAAACAGAAGATAAGCAGAACTCAACATCAGCTGTACAGCCTGAGCAAGAAGGTAGATAATTTGATTTTTAGCCAACACAAAGCTCTTGTTCTTCCTGACAGCCCTCTCACAAGCCACTTTTATGAATAGTTTGAAGGTCTGTGGGATGGAGTACCACTGGTACCCTAATAAAAGTTATTTTCATATTTATATCCTAAAGTTATTTTCACCCTGTGCAGTACAGCTAATCAAAACATTAGTCTGCCCAGGAATCAGTTGTCCAGTCTACTGTCTGCATAATACTCATGTGGCTCTTTGGAGGATTCTGTAACAAGGAAATTACTGGCAGTTAGTCACAAGGGTAGAAAAAATTGCTACTACTGTTGTTAGTCTATCCATTGTTGCTTATGTGTTGAAGCAAACTCAGGAGGATTTTTCATTTATTGTTAACTCCAAGTAGGACCTAAGTCTGCTCCATGCCTGATAATGCATGATTTTTGAAATTAGTTTGGGATTAGCACGGTGAGAGCTCACATAATTTTTTAGGCACCTTCATTTGCCAAAATCATAAGTAGAACTGGCCTCATTATAAATAGTATATTGTTAGAGTTCCAGAAGTCTTGTATCAAAAGCCACCTCGATCTGAATATTGCTGTTTACACTTCATCACCAGCTGAGCAAGAAAAGTACTGTTCACTCATGTAGTGGAAAGTGTAAAAAAGCTCAAACTCTCTGAGATTCTCTCATGACAGTGATGTAAGCAGTCAGCTGTTATATCAGCAGCCACTGAATGTAATTTGTCACAAATGTCATTTAAACTGAAGTAGTGATGGTATGCAGTATTCTATGGAGAGAAGCAAAAATGTTACGTATTTGTTGCTATTTGTAATGAGGCTTTGCATGACAGTATTCACTGCTAGACTTTCATCACCTTGGGTAATCTTATTCCAAGCTTCAGGCATCTTTTGCAAGCCATAAGCTGTACATAGTCATCTGCCTTTTAAAGATGCTAAACTATGTTTTGGGCAAATAAGAGAAGAAAGCATCATCTAGAATTACCTTCTTGCTCATTCATACGAGCTGTTACGTTATAAACCTGCTGCTTTTACATTTAGATGTAAAGATAATGCAGGATGATTACAGAAGGCATGTCATTTGTAAAGCGCTCATGGTATTGTTCTTGTTTCCCAAACATACCAGTAAATTAGACAATTCAGCCAACATCGTCATCAAAACTAAGCTCATGATGCAGTCCTTTCTTAACCACAAATGCTGTTAGAATTTTAATTGATGGTACCAAACAGTAAGGAATAAGGAGCAGCATTTCTTCTGTGGCAGTTTACTGAAAACATGAGCTGAATAAGATTCTTCTAAACTCCAAGAGAAAGGTTTCTACACCTTGTATTTTTTTGGGGTATGTTGCTGACCTAAACAGGATATTTAGGATGATAATGCCAGGCATTCATTGTTCTGTTTGCCCAAATTAGGACTATTCGCAGCCCTGTCTGCTGAAGCTGTGTCTTTATATTGCCATTAGCCTGAGCCACAGGAAATAGCCCAGATTTAGTGGGACATGCTATCAATGTTACTGTTTAACTTGACAATATCGTGTGCATTTAGTAGAAGTATGATGGGTATTCTGACAACAGCACAAATTGGGAACAGAGAGCATGATTGATAAAATCCTCGTTACGATCTCCTATCTAAAATTTGTCCAATCAATAAAATATTCTTCATGCTACTGCAGATCCTAGTAAAAATCCTGTTTCATTTACGCTTTGTCAGATCTGCTTCTCAAAAATACGTTTATGTTGTGTTATTCTTTTAATATGCAGAAGCTGATAAATCTGTTTCAGTAAGCGTAGACAGAAAACATGTAAATGTATTTTGAGATTTTCCCCAAGAACTACATTTCCATGTTTTAAGATTGTTTGTTTAAAAAATCTTGTAATTTTCCATGGATTAATTGGAACCGCTTCTTTCAGTATGTGACATTGCCGGAATTGCCTGCTGTTGTGGTCATCAAAGATGGAACTTACTTTGTTTATGATGGTAAGTAAAAGTGGACATAACCTTAAGACAAGATACTTGACGCATATGTGGAGAAACTGGAACAGTTAGGATTTTTTTGAAGGTTGTGTTGTAATTCTGGGAAATTCCCCTATTTTATGATAAATAATAGCCCCTTCATGAAGAAGTAGGGAGAAAACTAATTAGTTCTTATGGAACAAAATGCATTTGAGAAGGAATTGGTTTTAGCAATACTGAATTAGAAGTGATGATGTTTGCTTTATGTTATCAGTAAAATGTACCTTCTAATGTTGCTTTGCTGTTGTTAATGCACTTGTAAAAGTTACCCCTTCACTCACTGTCCAAATTCATCATATACAAAAGAAAACTCTTGCTGAAGAGGAGTCGCACATGAAATGAATTTACAGTTCCAATTAATCAGATTTTCTCTTAAATGCTCTTCCTGACAGTCACATCTGTCTCTCACAAGTTAACTTGAATTTTTTCAAGTGTCTACTCTGCTCAGAGATTGCATAAAAGGGTCTGGTTTGAACTTTTGGTGCCTTGGCAATACTGACCATGTACTTTTTTAGTACAGTAAGCCTTGCTTTAGAAACTATGAAGGAACAGGAGACTGGTTCTGCCTTTATTCCCAGTATTAAAATTTTGAGGGCCTTAAATGATAGTTTTGAGTATTATGTGCCTTTCACATTTGTAATGCTTGGCTATTGGTAGTGGGAAAGGATCAGACAGAATAACCTCTCCCTATGTAACTGGTGGAGCATTACAGTGCATATGTAGAAAGGTGGACCATTCAGTCTGATCTCCTTTTCTGAAAGCATCTCTTGCAAAGAGATTAAGGAGATGTGCACTGCTATCACTGGAGCCGTTGATACAGTTTTAGGCTGGATAAACTGGCTTGTTTGTGTAGGCTGTAGAATGGTCACCTAAACCCAGTAGTGTTTCATAACACCACTGACAGCAGTACACCTGCCATTTATCTGTTAGATGCACAATACACACATGTACTTATATTGCATATCATGGGTTGGTTTATAGATACACAGCTTATTTACAAAAAACATCTACTCTGGGTTTAGGTTGTTTTAAATGCAAGTTTTTACTTTTAAGTTGAAAACATATCACTCAAAGATTATTCTGGTGTTTAAATTTCTGAGGATCATGAGTACCACAGCAAAATACTCCAGATGGGCCGTGAAGGATTTTCTTTGTGATTTCATAGAATGGCTGTATTTGTCTTCCTTTTCAGTCTGTTGCCTTACCAATCATTCTCCAGATAAAAATTCACTCTATAGCTTCCTTGATTTGTTTTTTGTTTTTTGTTTTTTTTAAATTTCTTAAATGGGCTTGGAGAAGTAAAGCTTGTCAAAAAAAACCACTTCTGAATTGCTTTTTGCTGTGTGGCCTGCTTGCTTTTTCCATGCTTTTCAAATCAAACACAAAGCTTCTAATAATCCAGGTTTCTAATTTACTTTGTAAAAATTATACTCTTTTATAATATACTAGCAACATTATTGTAAATCAAGTTATGAAGCATAAGAGACTGGAAAAGATTATATGTGCAACTGTTAGGACTGGGCAGAAACACATACCTTGTCTGGTATGTGTTTTGGGTTTTTTTTCCCCCATAGTGGGGGAATGGGATGCAGATTTATGTGAAGCTTTATGCTTGGAATTGTTTGCTACATTCTTAAGACAATTAATTGTTAACTTGAAGTTATTGATAATTCACTATATAAAATGGGATTTAACACAAATTTATTTAATGTGCATTTATATGTGTGTGTATATGTTTGTATACTTTTTTTACTTGTGATTAAGATGTAATTATAAGAGTGTTGGAATTTGATTCTTTACATGTTAAAACATCTAGCATCTGAAATGTCCTTTAGTATAACTAATTCTGAATTATATGTAAATACTTGTTCATTTACATTCACAGTACTGTTAATGCATCTACTTTTTCTTGATTTCTTTCTATTTAATTTAAGGAGTCTCACACATAACTGATTTTTTTTTATCTCTTTGTTTGCCTTGAAACTTGATGCCTCCCCTTTAAAAACAGGGACAGAAACTGTTCCTTTCTGCACTGGGTCACAGTTACCTTAATAGAATCATAGAATGGTTTGGGTGGGAAGGGTCCTTAAAGAACATCTAGTTCCAACCCCCCTGCCATGGGCAGGGACACCTTCCACTGGACCAGGTTGCTCAAAGCCCCATCCAGCCTGGCCTTGAACACTGCCAGGGAGGGGGCAGCCACAGCTTCTCTGGGCAACCCGTGCCAGTGTCTCACCACCCTCACAGTAAAGAATTTTTTCCTTATATCTGAACCTACTATCTTTTGGTTTAAAACTGGTACCTCTCAACCTATCACTACACTCCCTGGTAAGAGTCCCTCACCATCTTTCCTGTAGGTCCCCTCTAAGTACTGGAAAGCCTACTGCTATAAGGGGTCTCCCCGGAGCCTTCTCTTCTCCAAGCTGAACAACCCCAACTCCCTCAGCCTGACCTCAGAAGAGAGGTGCTCCAGCCCCCTGGTCATTTTTGTGGCCCGCCTCTGGAATCACTCCAGCAGGTCCATGTCCTTCTTATGTGGGGGGCCCCAGAGCTGAACAGGTGGGGTCCAACAAGAGCAGAGTAGAGGGGGAGAATCCCCCCCCTTGACCTGCTGGCCACACTTGTCTTGATGTAGTCCAGGATACGGTTGGCTTTCTGGGCTGTGAGCGCACATTACTGACTCATGGTCAGTTTTACATCCACTGATACCCCCAAATCCTTCTCCCCAGGGCTGCTCTCAATCCACTCATCACCCACCCTGTATTTGTGCTTGAGATTGGCCTGGCCCATGTGCAGGACATTGCCCTTGGCCTTGTTGAACTTCATGAGGTTTGCACAGGCCCAGCTCTCAAGCCTGTCCAGGTCCCTCTGGATGGCACATCCCTTCCCTCCAGCATGTTGACTGCACCACACAGCTTGGTGTCATCAGCAAAGTTTCTGAGGGTGCGCTCAGTCCCCCTGTCCATATCGCCAAGAAAGATGTTAAATGGTACTGGCCCCAACACCAACCCCTGAGGAACCCATTTCTAGAATAGTATTGTTATCCTTGCATTGGGAATAAATAATCATTAAATCAGCTGTTTATGCTTTTCTATAAAACACTTTTTGTTCAAGAATTGGAAATAGTTTTAGAATTTTAAAAACTGAAATATCTAGAGATGTGTGAGATTTTGTTTAATAAAAGGAAAAAGGGGAAAAAATAGCTTTTGCCTCTATAGTACTGAGAGAAGTAAATCTGATTGTCCACCGTAGAAGAATTTAAAAAAACCCCAAACAAACAAACAAAAAACACAAAAAAACCCAGAAGATTTTTTTTTAATGCATTCTTCTTTTTTTTTCTCTTTTTTAGAGTATGAAGATGGTGATTTGTCTTCCTGGATAAATAGAGAAAGATTTCAAGGCTATCTCCATGTAGATGGCTTTACACTGTATGAACTTGGAGATACAGGTGAGATGCTGCTACCACTAAGCTTTTTGGCATATCTTGTACTTAACACTAAGAAAAATTATAGACCACTAAGAATGAGTCTTCTAAACCTCAAAAATTAATTAATCTCAGAGTTATGAGTTGATAATGCCAGTCTTTCTGGTGTTGGTGAGACTTGTCCTATTGACTAGAGGCTTTATCCAAAGCCTACACTAGTTCTTTCCTCACAACATAAAAATTAGCGTGTCTAATGCTATAGTATTTACAATAAATTAGTAGGACTTTTAAGAGCAGCTGAGGTTTTGCATAAATTATATCTTAACTCTTGGAATACCTACAGGGAATTTTAGGACTAGATTTAGAATTATCAAATATGAATGGGTTTAAATATGTCTTGCATCTCATGGGTTCAGATACCTTTCAAGTAGATATGTTAAGGAAGGGAGGAGAGGATGTACTAAATTGAACCTATCCTCAAATGCTTTAACTTTTCTCTAGTAATCTTTTTTTGCAAGACAAATGAAAAATTTTGCAGCCAGGTGACTTCTAGAATAGGCAAATGACACGTACTCTGAAGTAGCAGGAGAAAGTGTTGATTTTTCTAGGCCAGGATACTGTACAATCTACATTTATATCTATATAATCTACGTTTACAGAAGTGCTATTACAAATTGTTTAAAGGTAGCATATTTCTTCCTGTTACATTTTTGTCTAACAATTTCTCAAATTACTATAAAATAATTATGACTTCATTTTTACAGTGGAGAAGCCATCACTTATTTTTAAGAGGTTTATGTATAAATACCTAGCACCTGGAATTTATCTATGTCATCGTTTTCAGTCTAAAATGTAGCTGTCTCCTGGTGTAGGTAGTGGATTAAGGTGTGGAAAGAAATGGGAAAAAGTGAGAATTGAGGTATGGAAGAAGCAGGGTGGGAGGAAGCTATAGCTATTCCGCAAGAAAGTCTGGAACAAATCATTGTTCTTGCTGTCAGAACTCTTCAGTATTACTTGAACAAGAGTGAGGTGTTTTTTTGGGGGTTTTTTGAGGGTATTGTTTCCTATGGCACAGTGATGGGTTGGCATTGAGCAATAGATTGGCTTGGTAAGGAAGGCTTGGAGTGAACCATGGCGCCTAGAGAGACTTAAACTGTTCTGCGCTCTGGATGCTTCAGTTATTTCAGCTAATGACTACACTGTTAACGGATCTGCTTTTCTAATAGGGAATGCTTGTTCTGGAGAAACTTTGTCCAGCTTTCTAAACATATTTTGATCTGATTCATCTTAGGAGTCTTTGTGAAATTTTTCTGATTAAAAATAAAATAAACTCAAAGTGAATCCTGAAAAGATCAGTATATTCTGGTGTTTGGTCTTTAAGTTCCTCTCACAGGGGTCTGTGAACCAAGTTGTTTTTCTGATATAAAGAATTCTGGGCTCTGACAGTAAATTTTCCATGTTTTTTTACGTAAGGATAATACTCCACATTTTCAATACTATAAAAAATAGCCATTACTGAATCCATAAAATAGTGATTCATTCACTTCGAATCAGCTTGTAGTTTCCATTATATAATAAAGGTTTCCATCCTTATTTAGGTGTATGCTTTATCTGTGTTTTTTCCTCCCTTTTAACTTCTTCCTATAGGTTGGCTTTTCATATAATACTAGTGATGCAGCATTAGGCCATATCTTAATTTATTTTCAGTAGCTTTAAGAAAACCACAGTTTGATCAGCTGGAAAAGGCTATTTGGCATTGAGGTTTATACTTAAAACTAATTACTGTCCCTGGAAAGTGTCTGATCTAGGTCAGATATTTTCTATCTGAGAATGTGTGTTTCTTTTTAAATGGTTTCAAGTGGTTTATTTCTTATTTTAGGAAAACTTGTGGCTATTGCAGTCATTGATGATAAAAACTCTTCAGTGGAACATACCAGGTACACAATTGAGTATTGGTGACACTGTGGGAGAAATGTGCTGGTACAACATAAAGAACTTCGGAAGTTTCTTGAATATTAAGAAATGCCAGGTTAAATTAATGATTTTAACTTGGGGATGTTCTCTAATTTATGACTTTGGCCTACTGAATTTACCTAATTTGTGGGTCTGAAGCACGTGTGAGTTCAATGAGATGATGGGAGTTCTTGTATCGCTCTTCTGCTATTTGTTAATGATATCACAGGAGCAAATGGTGATCGCATAGCTTTTTAAAGCTATTGTCTCACCTTTTAAACACAGACAAGAGTATCTGTGTTCAGATGACTTTGAGATAAATTTAAACAAATTACTGTTCTTCAGCTGTTACATTAAAATTAATTTAGTGATGCTTATATAGTAGTTGTCTGTGGAGCTTATATTAAGAAGGGGCGTTTGAAGTTGGATTGGAGTTTGCTGAAGAGACCAAGAGGAACAAGACCTTCCCCTGTCCCTTTCTGGTTGCCTACATAGACTAAGAAAATACTGTTCAAGCACTGTGTATGCTATTTTCCTGGATCTCTGGATTTTCTTCAGTCAGTGCTGCATCTTCAGAAGGCAGTAGATGGGAGTGAAGCAGCCTGACTGTTTTTCTCGTGTTAAGACTGTGGTAGATAGCCTTTCAACACTTAGAAACCAAGCAAGACGAAAAAGGTCACTTTTGTTAATGTAATCAGGAATTTTTTCTGCTGATCAGGTACTGTTGGGGAAATCTCAATGTTTATTGTTTATATTCTAACAGAATATATCCTGGATTATCAATGTCACTTTTTTCCCTCCAGACTAAAATCTATTATTCAGGAAGTTGCTAGAGATTATCGAGATCACTTCCACAGGTAGGCACACACAGTACTATAACTTGTGCATTTATATTTCTGAAACAGCAGTCATTGTTTTGCTACATGAAAAATGTTATAGTGCCTGCTTTTATATTCATATACTGATATTTAATAAGACCATACCATTAACCAAGTGTGTTTTGGGATGCTGTCTTGTAGATTGTCTGTTATTGGATTACATTGCTGAGTGTGTGCTCTCATCTTCAGTTACAGGAAAAATATTTAAGGAATATTTTAAGGAACTTTTGCTTGAAACCCACTATTCTGTTTTCTTTCTCATCCTGTTTTTCACTGCTTCTCTTACAGGGATTTCCAGTTTGGCCATATGGATGGAAATGATTACATTAATAGTTTACTAATGGAGTAAGTAAATTCTTCTTTGACTATTCTTTCTTCTCTTGTATTTGCTGCTAAGTATATTTAATTCAAAAATTCATATGAAAAATTCCTGCCTTTCACGGGTTAAAAAAAAAAAAATGCTGTCCTCAGAATTCAGCATGTAACATAGTATCAGTTGTTTGTTAAATTAAAAGTCATAATTAATGTTAAAGTTTGGCTTACTGATAATGCTGACTAGCAAAGCTTATCTTTTAGGTCTGCTTGGTTAAATTCATTGTTAGAACTATGTGGGGGTTTTTTTCTTAAATTTACAGGGTGCTAGACAAACTAAAAGTTATGTCAATTTGTAACAGGAAATGTAAGTAATGGTTATACATTATGAGTTTTATTTCTGGAGAGGCACATTTTGTTCTTGATGCATTTTTAAGACATGCATAGAAAAATTCTTCTGCAGAGAAGCAGCATAAAATGTATGGAACATTCTGTCTGTACTTGATATGTACCTGGAACATGTTGAAATACATAAGTAGTTTAACAAGATGCTTGACATTTGCCCTTCTTACGATGCTTGTCTAAAAGTGCATAATTAGAGATCTAAGTTGCTTGGCATTTACAGTTTACTACTTGTTCTCCTCTGGCCTTTTTGAGTGAAAGAAGGGAAAAATGGGTCAATATGCCAGCTCTCTAAGTGTTCCAAACCATTTTCTGGGAATCAAAGCATGATCAAAGCATCTGTTCATGCCCCTAAAGGTTCTAGGAGCTTCATGGGGACTCGGTAGTCACAAGGTTTGTATTTCTGTGAAATGTCTGTAGATTAAGGCCTGAATATAATTTGTTTAAAACTAGCTATTTCTCACTTGAAACTGAGTGATGTGATTGATCTGGTGATTTATAACTGCCAAAATTGAGACCTTCCTCACTTCATTAATTTCTGCTTCTGTGCAGTCTGACTGTCTGCTGAGCTGTTCCAGCCTGTTTATCTGGTAGAAAAGTGTTTATTTTGGGGGGTTTGTTTTTTTGGTTTTTTGGCTAAGCAAGTAGGGGAGTTATTCTGCTGATCCAGCAAAACCCTTAAATATCTTCCTATGTATTCTGCTGGTACCAGAACTGATGTTTGAAGAAACAGGGGAGGGAGATGAGGTCCCTGAGAGGAAGAAAATTAAGGGGAAGAAGACAGAACTGCCACTTACAGTGTTAGTGATCTAGTAGCAAGATCTGTTCAGCTGGATTGTTTAACTTATTCTGCAAAATGCCTGATTTTATAATTTGTAGTATATAGGAAATTGCTTTTAGAGTACTCACAGGCTTTTAAGTATTTCCTAAACAGAGTGTATACATTTCCAGCAGAAGTGGAAAGCAGCAAAAGAATTCAGCAAAATATGTTGTGTTAATAAGTAGCCGCTCTTCATGTGGTTACTTGAATAATGTGTGTAAAACTGTACTGCAAGGGTTTTGGTTTTTCACTAGATGGCAGCAAGTGGAAACAGAAAAAAGCCTACCGAATAGCAAGAAATCTATTGCAGAATACTTTTTTTTCCTGTGCTAGATGCACATATGAACAAATCCTGTTTCTTTACAAAAAGCAGGATGTTGTATGATTTGTGGGGATAGAAGTAGTAGTCCCTCATAGATGTACACTTATGAACTTGGCTGTAACTCCATTAGTGGGCATTATAATTTACCCGTTTCTTTGGCAGTGAATAAATGTCCTTTTGTTGGATTAAAATGGTATAGTTAAAACTCTATTTTCTTTTTTTGTGCATAATATTATGCATTTTACTGAAAGCAAAGACACATGTTTGTGTAAGCTAAGGTATATAGCATCACTGGAATGTTAACTATAGGTGTATGCAGAGTATTAATTCCTCAGCTCTTGGAAGAAACATATTAAACATGTTTTTATTAATCTCTGTACTGTGTATAACATTTGTATAGGGAGTTTATCTTTCAGATGCTCTACAACAAACTATAAGAACCTCAGTTGCCAGACTGTTAAATGCAATAGCAGCACTTTTTTGGTGGGAGAAGGGGGTCTTTTCTGCATCAAAGTAATAAAACTTGTTCTGTTTTGGCTGGGATGAGGTGTTTTGGCAGATTTGATAACTTCTTACCAGGCACTTGTAAAAAAACCTGACTCTCTTGATTGTCTCCTACTGACTTATTCCTAATAGAGAATAAAAATGCCAAGGGAAAATTGTGTGCTGCAGGTTGTCACTATTGACAAAATTTTGTTTAGTTGATTATTTTTTTTTTTTAAGGTTCCTTTGAAAGGTTGAAATTACTTTATTATTGCTGTAGTTGGCCTTAGGTTTTCTGAGGTGCCACTATGCTTTCAGTTTGAGTACTAGGAAGGGGTCTGCACCTTAAGTCCTCAAGTATTCGGCTTCCTAGGAGTTTAGAAAATTTTCATGTATTAAAGTTATTCACTTCTAGGTTTGGAATTGAATTTAAATTAAACAAGCAAACAAACAAAACACCTAAAATGTGTAAGAAAATGTAGAATAGTTTCTATGAATTGAAAGAAAAATGGAATCTGGAGTAAATGCTAAACAATATTTTCATGAAATAATTGGTTATGGATTGATAGCCACAGTTAAGGCTGAAGTATTACATGGATTACAAATGTGCATAGATGGGGCACTATTACACAAGGGTGAAAATGTAGAAAACAAAGTTTGCATTGCTTCTGCAGTGAAAGAAAGCTACCTGGTATTTAAATTCATTATTGACAGAACTGTAGAAAATTAACAATGAGTACAGGAGATGTTTCACCTCATTTGATGTATTTTAAATCTTTCTTGTTGAACAGTGTACTTGTGCAGTATTAAATTTTCCTAAACCTGATCTAATTTTGAATTTAGGGCTAATTTGAACAGTAGATTTTAGTGGCTCATCTCCAGAGATAATTTCTAACCTTTTTTCTTTTTTATTCCTCCCCCCCTTCATTCTGTCTGAGTCTGTGGTACGAAACAATATTTACATGTGTGAAGGTCAATTGCTGAGTAATAACTGTTTAAAAACTGTAGCTTATCTGCTGTATCTAAAAGACATGTAGAAAAACTGATTCATATGGCCTATTCTGTTGATTTGACAGGTAGAGGTTGATTGATGGAACTGATCAGTTGGACCATGGCTGGATGGAATTGAGTTTTTGGATTATACTTCTGCCTTTGTGCATTAAAACATTTAGTGTGTTGTGCTAATAGTATATTTCATGTAGAAAGCAATTCCCTATGATCTGTTACTAATTGGCAAGTCATAAGGTACCTGATCTGCAGTCACTATGTGTATATAAAATGCAGTAAACTTCAAATAATGTCAGTGACACAGATGTGAAAGAAAAAAAATATTAAATATATGCTTGTACTGTTCAGGTGAGTCTCTTCATCCTTCCTCTTGCATTTAAGGAACTGCTATAAGGAACACTCACAAAATCAAGATTAGTGGATGCCCTTTAAATGATGTACGAATTATTTGAATTGAGGTGTTTTACACGGTAGTTCTTTAAATGTATAAACTGTCTGTTTTATGTTTCCAGTGACTTGACAATCCCTACTATTGTGGTATTGAATACCTCCAATCAGCAGTATTTTCTGCCAGATAGGCACATTGAGAACACAGAAGACATGGTTCAGTTTATTAACAATATCTTGGATGGTACAGCTGAAGTAAGTCTTCATTGTGACTTGAAATATGTTGGTTAGTGTTTATTTCTTAAATGCTAAAGTAGGGAATAAAATTTGGTTACTCTGATTGTTCTGCTGTGTGGTTGCCATCTTCCTGTCCTGTGTCATGTCTTGGGTGCTGTCAGTGAATGTATGATTGTGAATTCTTGAGGTGTGCTGTTGCTTGCTGTTCTGACTGCAGAACCTCTTGTAGGAAGCAAGCTTTTCTCTGTTTATAACATAATGTCAGTGTACTTCTTTTGATATTCCTTTTAGTGGTGTCACTGCTAAATAGAGAGGCTTTTATTAAAGTGGTTTGCTTTAAGTGCATTTATTTAAATTTTTCTTTATAGTACATAATTGAACTCTACCCTTCCTTTTGGGCAGTAAATTAATAAATTCAATAGCCTGATAAATGATAGGTTCAGGTTCAAAAAACAGTGGTGTACTTGCTTTGCATATTACAAACAGGCACAAGCTTACCTCTCTCTCTCTCGTTGCTCTAAAGCTAAAAATGATCTGACTTTTGTTGAAAACAACAAAATTGATAAATCCATCTAGAATTGATGGCTTGGACAATTTTTTAGTGTTAGCAAAACAAACTCAGGTTTACTTATTCCCTCGGTGTACTGTAATTTGAGCAGAAGGCTATGTTGTGTGGATGAGGAAGGAGATCATGGATCAGAGCCTTCATTTGTACTTAGAGGGCAGGAAGGCTTTACCACAAAGAAGGACAGTGCTAACAAATCATTTAGCTGCCTCCTGAGAGAAGCCTATGTTGGTATAAGCCCTGGTTCACTGTGCATTGAATGCTTACTACGTTAGGTGAATCCCACTTTACATTATGCCAGCAGTTTTAGATAATCATGTGGTAAGGACAAGTAGATTGTTTCAGACATATGGGGTACTTTATTTAATATGATAAATTGACATAGTAACATAGTATAGGTGGATTTGCTTACTGTTCATGACTTTACCAGCCATGCTTCCAGTTGCAAAGTGAGGGGTATTCATGTAACATGTAACGTGGTGGTTCTTTATTCTTTAATTCTCACTTTTTTTAATGCTTTGTTAATTGCATTGAAGTATGTTATTGACACCTGTTTGACTCTATTTAAATTTATCTTTCTGGTTGAAACTACAAATGAAATTGGTTTCTGACTGTTTTTTAACTTTGAGGAAATTTGCTTATGATGCCTTGTGGTTTTTGCCATAGTGTCACTGTCTTCCTACCTTTTGTTTGCAGTATTTCAGCTAGGATGATTAAAGGTCTGTCTAAATTCCCATCTCTATATGTATGTGAGAGTGCTAATACAAGACAGATAATACAGGATGTGACTTCATGAATTTTTCATGAGACTATTGAAATGTTTATCCATGCTTGAGAAGTTGGAGTGTCTGGGCATCATGAGATGCAAGAATAATTACTTTTCATTTCCTTCTAAAGGGACTTAAGATTGCAAGGTCTGAAGAATGAACTTTTGGAATCATAACTGAAAAGTGTCAGCAGTTTTGACATGGTTCCATTTGAAATTTCAGGCACAGGGTGGTGATGGACTTCTGCAGCGAATCAAGAGAATAATCTATGATGCCAAATCCACTGTAGTGGTAAGTATTATTTTTTGTTAAACTAGATGGTGCCCTTGTCAATTAAGATGCAAATAATTTTCAGAGGGTTTAGAAACATTTTTGTATAACTTTGCTTACATTATATGTATTGTGTATATATTATAGGTATTTATACATTAGATTTAAGCCATATGAACTTCCTGATTATGTTTTTTGATAATATTTTCCAGTGTGCTAAATATTCAACATATGTTAGTTTCTTCATAAATTTATAGGTTAATTATGCTTAACTCAACTTTGTTGGGAAGATGTATGCAAATCCATTTCTTCACTTACCCCTACACAAGCAAAAAAAAAAAAAAACCTGGGCTGTAAATTTAAATTGAAATTGATGTGGTTTTGTAAGAGTGGCTTCCAAACTTCTGTGAATGTGCAACATTCAGCCATCAGTTTCTGAAACCAAGTCTGTTCCTTCTGTGACATTAAACTACTCTTCAGTAGGAAGCTGTCTAATAACAGAATGTTTCTGCAGATCTCTTACTGTTCAAACTAAGTTTTTGGGAATGAGATACAAATAAGAGATGAAACTGGTTGCTCCAAAGTGTTAGCACTCTTAGAACAATTGTTTCTCAAGCTTCGAACAATGGTTAGAATATACAGTTGGCATGTTAACTATCTTAATGCAACACTATAATATTTGAACTTCTAAATCTTTTTAAATGGAATTATAGTAGGGATTTTTAAAATGAGAATTTATCTTTTCTGAAAAAAAAAACCCAAACCCTGCAAAAAAAACAGACTGCCATTTTTAATATTTCTGAATAAATTCAGAGTAATAAGAGAAGTAATATGGTTATCTTGTGTATTCACTGAAAGTGTTTTTTACTTCAAATTTGTGTTTCAACAGTCCGTCTTCAAGAGTTCACCACTTCTGGGATGCTTTCTCTTTGGGTTGCCCCTGGGGGTCATCAGCATTATGTGTTATGGAATCTGCATAGCTGATACAGATGGAGGGGTAGATGAACATGAGGCAGCTAAAAAAGAAAACAGTGATCGGGAGCTCACAGATGAAGGCAGTGAGGAAGAACAAGAGGAGGAAAAGAATGGAAGATATACAGGACTTTCAGATGGAGAGCTTAAACAGAAAGACGTAATGGAAAAGAAAAAAGACTAACTTGTTTAGCAAAAGAATTCTCTAGAATTTCCAAATAGACTTATTTATTGAAGGTAGTCATTTATTGATGATCTTCATGAAAAAGGACCTTTTTGTCTGCGTTATGGTAGTTCTGACTTGCATGTATTCTAATTTTCTTGGAAATTGACATTAACAAAAAAGTCTTTAATTAACAAAGAGCAGTTTGAAGAAGTTTGCAGGTACAACTGTACACCAGGTTTTTTAAGTAGTTTTGAACTGTTCATTTCTGGAACAGTAAAATGTTATTTGACCTTGGTGTATGTGATGTACTCCTAATATAGCCCAGCTAAACACTTGTTTAAAATTAAGGCTGAAAACTGAGGAAGATTAAGAAATCTGTAAAGTCTTTCAGAGCCTGATAGCTAAAGACAACTTTAGCATTTTCCAAGAAGTCATGTGTTCTACCTGTTGCACATTATTTTAGAAAAAAACCCCAAATTTTTCTATTTTCTCAAGTTAAATATAAATTGTTAGGAATGAGAGGACTGTTTTACCATGTAATGATATAATTATTGGCAGTCAAGAATGTTTACCTGATATAGAATGTGGGGGTTATGCTAAATTAAGTCTTAGCGCTTTAGCAGCTAAAACCATCAGAAAACAATATAAACCTTTTAGAACATGATTGCCTGTTAAATTGTTTTGTATGAATGCTTACACAAATTTACAGGGAGATGATGTTTAATTTTTCTGAATCCACAGTACAACTTGGTAGGGGAAGACAGAAACACACTCAGTTTTGCATAACCAATGACAAGCTTTTTGAATGGTGTAAATTTATTTTATGGATTTTAATTAGATTGTTAAATATCTTTTGAGGTAGTTGGTGGTGTTAACTTTTGTTTGAGACTGTTACCTACTCAGAAAGAGGGTGTTAAAGGAGCATAATATTAACATTCATAGCGAATGGTTAGTATAATGCATTTTTGTTACCTGTTTAATCCTAAAAGTCACTTTTAATACAACTCTGTGACTGTGAAAAGGACTAACTTGTGTCCAGGGTTGTAATCTTCAAGGATAAGCTATGAAGCAGCCTTTGGTGTCAGTGTCATGGAGAAGACCACAGAAACAAAATTTATATTTCTCTTCCTCTTAGTATTCATGCTGGAGTTTTTTTTCTTTCTTTTTTATAAGGCTATATAATCTGTATAATACAGATTATAATGTCCTCCTTATAAGGCAGCTTGATCACATAGGAAATTGCTATAGCACTAAATTAAGGAACTTTAAATAAAAACTATGTATAAGATTAAATAGACAAGTTCTGTGTTTCAGTCAACCTGATGATGATAGAAATCATAACCAGGGAAAGTGTATTGCATCCTTTTTCCTTGTAGGAAAGAAACTTGTTCCTTCTGTTTAAGTAGCTTGGTAACAGCTGGCTTCATATTGCAGGTCAGAGCACAGTAAAAAGATGCCTGACTTTAAAGATTTTTTTTTTTTTTTTATCAACCTATATAAGCAATATCTTAAGGAGATCCGCTTCTGATTTTGAGTCTGAACTTCTACCTTTAGGAAGGAGGGGAAAAAAAAAAAAAAAAAGAGTACATAGAATAGTGAGTAGCAGTGTCTGATATGGGTATTTTTCCCTTTTTTTTCTCCTTTTTCCCCTCTATGAATTGCCTTTTTACATTTTTTTTGTCATTATAGCTAGTTGTATGTAGTGACTTGAGTTTTATTGCTTTTTATTTTGTTTTGGTTATTTTTGGCAGAATCTTTGAGGTGTAGTTTTAGCATATATTTGAAGAGTGAGATGCTTAAAAATGTGTTTAGAAAGTTGGGGTTTTTTACATGGTGTAGAGCTCTTGAGTTGTCTTTTTACTTTTTTAAAAATCACTTAATGACAAGCCTGTGAATTTCTTCGGACTTTAGCATGACTCAGTGCTGATAGTCAAAATGTAGGAGTTAAGGCAGTAATGTGATTTCTTCATTTGTCTCTTCTTAAGATTTCAACTACAGATGAATTACATATTTAATTTTGTTTCAGGCTGGAAATGTGCAGCTTTTGACTTAAAAACCCAGAAGTGTTCACTGGAACACTGCTTTTCCTTCTATGGTGTGTAATAAAAAAAATAATTCTGAATTCTGCTGCACTGCTAAGAACAATTTCAACTATGAGCCTTCATTTTTGTGGATATTTTTGTTTGTGTTTATAATCAGTAGTAGCCAAATAACTTGCTGAGAAATCTTCTGAGATGCAAACTTGAATATGATAAATACTGTGTAAGAAACGGATCATGATGGGATCTGTTAAACCTGTAGCACTTAACCGGTAGAGTTAGGAGGAAAGCATGTGTCTGGGTCACTTCTGAACTGTAGTATCAATCAGATGTGTATTGAACTGTTAAAATTAAACTTGAAATGTATTGCCATGTTCACAAAATCCTTCTCCCAGCTATATTCAACAAGACACAGGGCAAACATACAAGTCATATACTGGCTGTCAGAATGATGTGAAATTAAGGGGTTTGCTGTGGTCATGCAAGTAATCTGGAATGCCGTCTAGTGGGGGGGATCTGGCATTTTACTTTTTTTCTTCAGTCTCTAAAGGTTTCTTAAAGCAACTTCACTGTAATGACTTTGAATTCACAAAATAATGCTGCTTTTTTAAGTCAAGTGTAACCCTTTTGTTTTTCGGTAATAAAAATATTTAGAAGAGCTTGTTTCCTTTGCTTAATTTGCACTGTATTAATCTTAGATACTACACATTGTGTAGGAGGCTCTTTTCTGGGACACTCACTGTAAGCCTGCTTTAGGCCCCAGTTAATGCAGAACAGAAATGCAGCTGGTAGCTTTTAAAAAGAAAAATGAGTCCATCCTGTCTGATACCTTCTTGCCAATGTTTTTAAAATACTCCCTAGATGTAGGAGTCTATATATTCTTGCCTCTTATTTAGTGAGCATCCTAGCAGTATAAAACAAATGCATTTCTGAGAAAGAGAAATTTTAAAATACCAGTTCATTTCACTAGCATACTCTCAAATTCTTACAAGTTTCAGTGTCAGAGGGAGCCAAGCTAAGGCAGACTGGTCTAGTGTACATCTGGAAGAACTTGAGTAGCCTGGACACCTGGATGTGTGCAATCTGTTACTGCTTTGTTATTTATTTGGGCTGTTTTAACACATACTGTCCACACTGTGGTGCTCACTGCTTAAAGGATGGAATGATTATACTCTGGTAGATCTGATGTGCTGAAGATGGCACTGAAGTGCTTCATTTTCATGAAGTATTTCAGTAAAAGGCTTAGTTTGCTCTGTTTTGGCCCAGAGCTAACTTACCCTGTTGCTCTTTTGTCAGCATGTTTGAAGAGGAGTGGGCAGGCGGAGAGTTGTTCTGATGACAGCCAAAAGCCTAGCTCAGTGAACAGAGTGCAGAACCAGAATGTACTTCCCTTATGCTGCTAAAGTCTCATGAGACTATAGATATTTCAGGTTGTATTATGCTGTGACAGAGTGGTACTGGCTCTCAAATCTTCAGAGAGCAAAGCAGCTTTCTGCTGTTTTGTTCTTATGACTGAGGACATTGCCAACCGACTGAAACATGCAGCTGTTACAAGTTATATCGCTGTAACTGATGAAGACAATTTTGACAATACTGTGTTGAATGCTTTGTTGAACTCTTTAACATGCAAAGTTTTTTGTAGTCTGCCTAGGCAGTGCACATGTTCCTATAAACAATTCTCTTTGATTCCTAAAATTTTAATCATTTTAAAGGATTACTGCCACTATCCTGTATATCAATTTGCTGACATAAAGCACCATTTAGCAGCTGATGGGAACTCTCCTGTTGCTAGCAAACTACCTTCTGCTTGTGCACCCAAAGAGTGTAGAAATGTCTGCAGTTGTTCAGCAAGGATAAATAGATTACAAATATTTTACATAAAGCATTTCTGAATGCAGTGTTGTGGCTTTTAACAATAAAACCTGAAAGATCTAGAAGGTCCTTTGAAGAGAAGCAAGGAAACCTTTAAGACGATTACTAATGAGAGGAATAGTATTGCTTTGTATCTCAGTTTCCACATAAGTTTAGATTGGAGAAGAGAGAAAGCATTGCTGAATGAGTGTGTAACTTGACAGCTTACTTGTACTGAAAACAGTTTTGCTTTTCTAGTGTGTGTTTCTCATTCATTCATTGAATGAACTCAGCAGCCCCAGGTGCAAGGTTGGCATAGTCTTCAGCTAGATTAATGAGTGTCCTGACCAAAATGGTGGCTGGGTTTAGGCTGTCTTGAGTTAAGACTGAAACTTTGGTAAGCACTAAGGCTGTCACATGAAGGGGATAAAAATGAATAGACAGGAGGAATAGGAATGGGAGGAAGGAATGGTGCAGGGCCATGTATTCTCCTGTCTTTGTCTTGTTTTGATATCAATGAGCTACACTTTACATATATGCATAGCTAGTGGGACATTAAGTCTTTCCCAAAGAAACTTATCTTCACTTACTTTACAGAGAGGCTTTGGCTGGATAAGCTTGCCTGACAGGGTGAGAAGCATTAGTACAAGATCAAGATTACTTATGGATGTTTTTGCTGTTTCCCAGCAAAAACATACACTCCAAGTCATTAAAAATATTGTACTTTAATGTTCATCATTTGTTTGAAACAAAACCAAAAAACCAGCTCTTTAATCTTATGTTGCTACACTGCTACTTTAAAGGAATGATTTCAATCCTTGCATGGGTGGCAACTGTTGTCTTAATGCTTTCTGGAATTAGAGATCTAATCAATAATGTAGGGTTTGTATTTTCATCTTAAATAAATGTTTGGGTTTTTTAAAATAATAATTAAAACCAACTGCAACAGTTGCTGCATTTTCATTCATTTTACCTGAATAGTAAATGTTGTCTCTTAATCCAAAGCATACAATGTACTGTACATAGACTAAAAACTTTAAGTGACTCAAAAGACTTTGGGACTTCAGTACCTAAGTTTTTAATCCCCTCCCAAAGGATTTTTTTTTTTCTTTTATCATTGAGTCATTTTGACTTAGATCTGACTGTAAATTTTTAGTTAATATTTAATTTTTTTCTTGGTATGCTTCTCTGAAAGAATTTCTGAATCTCCTGACAGGCCCCTATAGATTAAAATTTGAACTGCAGACAGGTGTTTTGTATTGGCCACTGGCTAATTTTGTTTATTTCCTTATTGCTTTTGTAATATATGTCTTTTTTTCACTTACCTTTGCCTATTCAGACAGTTGAGCTGCTTCTACTTAGCACTTCTTGCAGGATCACACAACTCACTAAACATATGCTGTGGTCCTCAGGTCTATGTTAAAATTTATTAGATAACATTTTTAAAAGCAAACTGCAAATCAAACAAAAAAAGGATAACACTTAGAAGCTGTCAAAATAGCAGAGTGTTTTTGTAAGACATTTTTGGAAATTCTTTTTAACAAAAAACATTTAAATCTTCAAGTATCAGTAACTTTCCTGTCCCTAAACAGAACATTTGTTAGAACATGAAGAGTTATACAGAAACAGAAAGTTTATAGGAAAATAATTTCCCTTTGAAGTAAGCGATCTTTTATGTAAAGTGGAAGAAAACTAAGGCTTCCTTCTCAGTCACTACAAAAATTAAATTTGAGTGTCCTTCCTGCAGAAGATGGGAGAAATACCTGTTGGCCCAGGCAAGTCCTTGACAATGCATCAGTTGCTCCTGAGCTGGAGAATAATTGCCTTCAGCAGATTTATCATTTAATAGCTATGTCTGAGTCTCAGTGGAGAAAATAATTATAAATTAGGCTGTGCCTTCATGTAAAATTAGGCTTTATGAAAATAAAAAACACGAGAGTCGAGTTAAACAATACTGTGGTGCAAATCTTCCCCCTTCCCCATTTTTAAAAAACAGATTAAAAAAAAAAAAAATGCAGAAGAAATAGATATTTTTATTCTTCATGGCTCATCTATGAAAGCCCCAGTTTCTTCAATCGTATCCTAAATGCCACGGGTTGTAAGAGATGATGCAATATATTGTGGTGTTAACTTTTTAAGATCTACCTGATCCTACTGTGAAGTAAGAAGTATCTAAAGGCTTTCTGAGTGGGTTGAAGGAGAAGAAGAAGTATTTCCTAAAAGGTAAACATAAGTATTGTTCTGTGTTGAGTGCCTCTGACAGACAGATGTACCAGAATATGAAAAATACTCTTTGGAATGGATCTTTAAGTAGCTGGGAGCTTCTTGTATCACATTGTCATGATTTAAAATAGAAGCATTTCTAGCAGAGTGCAAGTAAGTAATATTTGATTTTTAGAACAGGATTCAAATGCAGTTAAGAATCTTGACCTGAACATAGCATATTTCTATTTTTATACCTTGCATCATGTGTGGTTATAGTTTAAGTGGTCTTTATTCAAAGGAAAAGCTGTCAGTGCATTCATGTGAATGTGCTGGGGTTTAGTTTCCAGAGAGCACCTGGAATTCAAGCATAGTGCAGAAGCATGGGGTTCTTTCAGTGGGCTATAACTCTGTCTCAGTTGTCAGAAATCTAAATGCGAAGACGTACTAGAAATAAGACCTTGAGTTGCTCACTTAGCTTTGCAAAGGCTCAAGCCATGTGTGGAAAGCTAATCAAACACAGGCATTGTGCATTAGCTAATGGGAAATTATTATCTATGGCTTAATCCCAAGAAAGAAGTTGTAAGCCTTCTTTTAGGTTTGTAAGTAATGGTTATGAGGTGGGAGGAATTTTTCATACTGATAACTGTTTCATTCAAAAGGTATGATCTTGGCTATAAATGTGCAGCAAGGCTCATAGAGGAAAGAAGTTTGCAATGCGGGCTAAAGGCATGATCTTGAAATAATACTATTCCTTGTGTTAACATGCAGTGGAGGCTGGGAAAGTGTTATAAAGGGATTGCATAATTAAATTATGAAGCTTGTAATATTCACATTCAAACAATATGCTACTCTTATCACACCAGCCTTCTTAAAAGAGTGTTAATAAGCCTGAGGTTTTATCAGGATATGATGCACTATGTTGGTAAGAAAGAATGAAAACTTTCCATAGTATGGGCAGTTCCTTCTTCCCTTTTGAAGAAAAAATGCCTCAGTGCAGACCCTTGCTGTGAACTAGGACAGCTGAGCTCCAACACCTGTTTCTTTTCGCACGTCATTTCTCAGAGGCGGGAGATTGACCTCAGAGAGCAGTGGCTCTGGTAGCCTCTGTCGCACACGCGTGGGTTAGCCCCGGTGGTTTTCAGAAAGAGTCGGAAGCTGGTCGCAATGAACGTGGGCCTGAGCAATGGGAGTAGCAGAGACTTTAGGAGTTGCAACTTTGACAAGCAGGATGTGTGCTGCTGTAAAGAGTTTTAATGACCATGTGAAGACACAGGGGAAAGGACTCTTTGAAGGTCATCATTGCATCACTGTCATGATGTATCATAAGGTAAGGAAGAATACATGAGGTATAGAGGTGAGCAGACACAAAAGCCCGTGGGGTGTTTCCTCTGCTCAGGCCCATGCATGCTCTTTTGAACCTAAGGACAAGGCCACTCTGTTTTTGGGGACAGTGAGTTCATGCTCATAGATGTAGGTTGCTCTGTGGCTGTTGGTCCTTGGGCAGTGAACTTGCCCTGTCATGTTTAAATTAGAGCGTAGACATGCCATGGAACATTAAGCTGTTTCTGGCCATCTTCCTTTGACGTGGAGTGCAGTTTTAGG